GCCAGAAGTGGCACTGTGGCTCAAGTGGTAGAGTGCTAGCCTTGAGCTGAAGAGCTGAGGGACAGCGTCCAGGCCCAGAGTTCAGGCCCCATGATCGACAAAAAAAAAAAAAAAGAAAGAAAGAAAGAAAGGTGGTTAGATAAAAGTCTTAAAAACCTTAAAGTTAAAAATGATACAGTAAATTGTTTCAGTTAAAATGAAAATTGTACTATTTGTGGCCCCTATCATTTGCCCTCAATGTAATGCCACAACTAACCAGATATCTTTATGTATTTAGCTTATCTGTAATAAATAATTCTCTTGAAAGACTAGAATCTACCTAGACTTATACTACCATATCCCAAAATTTCTCAAAAACCTAAACAATACATGATCATGAAATCACTTGTGCGGTAGCAGGATAAAATATCCAACTCACAAGAATAGTCTTGTCTCCTCAAAAAGCTCTCATCAATATCAACTAAAATGACAACAATGTAAAGATGAACACCACACATAAAATTTGATATTAACAAATTTATTATAGGTTTAATAAATAAGAAGTAAAATCAAGCAGAACACCATACCAGTGACTCACTTCTATAATCCTAACTACTCAGGAGGCTAAGATCTGAGGATTGCAGTCCAAAGCCAGCCAGGCAGGAATGATTGTGACTTCTATCTCTAATGAAGCACTAAAAAGATGAAAGTGAAGCTATAGCTCCCTAGAAACAGCCAGGCCCTGACGTTAAGCCAAAGGAAAGGAAAGGGAGAAAGAAGAAACACTGGTGACAACATTTTTTCCACCAGGTATAATGGCATTCTTTCAGCCTAACTCTTAACAAGAAAAACACAAATACTCAGGTTTTACTTTTATTTTTTTTCCCTTTTTGTGCCAGTACTGGGGCTTAAACTCAGAGCCTGAGCATTGAACCTTAGTTTTTTCATTAAAGGCTAGAGCTCTACCACTTGACTCATACCTCCACTTCTGGCTTCTTGCTTGTTAATTGTAGGTAAGAGCTTCACAGACTTTCCTATCTGGGAAGGTTTTTGAAGCACTATCATCGGATCTCAGCCTCCTTAGAAGCTAGGATTACAAGCATGAGCTACCAGTACCCAGATATTAAGTTTTAAATTGTTAATATTTTTACTGAAGATGAGAAAGAATAAAAAGAACGAAAATTATATGGACTTGCTTTACATAGCAACTACTCCACTAAAATTATACATTAATCATTTATTAAAAATCATACTGGCCAGGTGCTGTTGGTTCACTCTTGTAATCCTAGCTACTCAGGAGCTGAGATCTGAGGACTAAGGTATAAAGCCAGTCCAGGCAAGAAAGTCCATGAGACTCTTATCTCCACATAAAAAAACAGAAGTGGCTAGCCTTGAGTCAAAGAAGCTCAGGGATAGTGCCCAGGCCCAGAGTTCAAGCCTCAAGAGCAGAAAAAAAAAACACACACACAAAAATATGGACATATTACAGCTACGCATAAATATAATCGAGTAATTACAGACCAAATGTTAACTGGCAAATGTTGATTGTATGTCTAAAGGGAATGTTTACCCCTTCTTCTTGCTTATGTGTATTTTCTTTTTTTTTTTGGGGGGGGGGTCTGGTCGTGGTGCCTGAACTATGGGCCTGGCCTGGGCGCTGTCCCTCAGTTCTTCAGCTCAAGGCTAGCGGTCTACCACTTGAGCCACAGCGCCACTTCCGGCTTTTTTCTCTTTGTTTATATGGTACTGAGGAATCGAACCCAGGGCCTCAGGCATGCAAGGCAAGCACTCTACCACTGAGCCACCTTCCCAGTCCATCTTGTGTGTATTTTCAAGTTTTCTATTTTTTTCTTAAACAAATGTACCAAGAAAAGACTTTCTTAATAGAACAAATAACACTGATGAATTATAAAGAAACACACTTACCAGGTCTCTGTGAAGCACCCAATTTGCATGTAGGTAATGGATACCATCAAGAATCTGGTAAAGTAAGGATTTAACCATAGATCTCGGCAACTGCATGGGCTTTTTATTTGCTTTTGATGCACGATGAAATTTAATAATATGCTAAAAATTAAAAATAAAGCAAACTATAATAATATAATCTCTGTAAAATGCCAATAGAACAAAATCTAATCTGTAAGTGGTCTATTTTAAAACTATTTTTAAGCTACTTAGAATGTCAAGATCTGAGAATCATAGTTCAAAGCCAGCCCAGGCAGGAAAGTCCAAGAGACTCTTGGACTTTAACTACCAGAAAACCAGATATGTAGCTGTGGCTCAAAGTGATACAGCACTAGCCTTGAGCACAAAAGTTCACGGACAGTGCCCAAGCCCAGAATATCAAGCCCCATGATGGACAAAAAACAAATTTAAAAAAAAACTATTTTTAAAGACCAATAATGACACAAAGAAAATAGCTTGAATAAGGTCAACCAAAATTATCTATTTTGGAGGTGAATGTGACCAATATTAATATAGGGTTATAATAGCCAGATTTATTAAAACAATATTGTTATTAAATAGAAGCAAAACACAAAATGAGTCCAGGTTTAAATGCCTGCCTAAGAATATATTAGTCATGGGCTGGGAAGGTGGCTCAGTGGTAGGTTGCTTGCCTCACACCCATGAGGCCCTGGGTTTGATTCCTCAGCACCTCATAAGCAGAAAAAGCTGGAAGTGGCTCTGTGGCTCAAGTGGTAGAGCACTGAAGAGCTGAAGGACAGAGCCCAGGCCCAGAGTTCAGGCCCCACAATCAACAAAAAAAAAGGAATACATTAGTCATGCTGGTGGTGGCTCATACCTATAATCCTAGCTACTAGGAGGCTGAGATCTGAGAATCTCAGTTCAAAGCCAGCCCAAGGAGGAAAGTCTGTGAGACTTTTTTTTTTTTGGTCTGGTCGTGGGGCCTTAACTCTGGGCCTGGGCGCTGTCCCTCAGCTCTTCAGCTCAAGGGTAGCGCTCTACCACTTAAGCCACAGCACCACTTCCAGTTTTTTTTCTTTTTTGCTTATGCGGTACTGAGGAATCGAACCCAGGGCCTCAGGCATGCAAGGCAAGCACTCTACCACTGAGCCACCTTCCCAGCCCAAGTCTGTGAGACTCTTATCTCCAATAAACCACTCAGAAAACCAGAAGTGGCACTGTGGCTCAAGTGGTAGAGTATTAGCCTTGAGCTGAGAGACAGAGTTCAAGCCCCACAACTGAAAAATATAGATTTTTTTTAACCTATATAGATATATATAGGTTATAGGTTATAGATTTTTTAACATATATAGATATATATAAAAGTCATTTCTGCTACTGGCAGAATTTTTATCGTCAGAATTTTGTTTAACTGTGTTTTCTATAAATAGTATTTAGTGCATTTGGATAACATCACTATTTGGACATTAAAATTATTAAGTTCCATGTTTCTTTGAAACAAAATGAGTTAAGGTTTATTTCTAGGAATCAGTAAATCAAAACAGAAAAATCAAGAAATCAAAACAGAGAAAAAGGGGCTGGGAAGGTGGCTCAGTGGTAGAGTGTTTGCCTTGCATGCACCACATAAGCAAAAAGAAAAAAGCCAGAAGTGGTGCTGTGGCTCAAGTGGTAGAGCGCTAGCCTTGAGCTGAAGTGCTGAGGGACAGCACCCAGGCCCAGAGTTCAGGCCCCAGGACCACACCCCCCCCACAAAAAAAAAAAAAACAGAGAAAAAGGAAGAAGGAAGAAAATAGAGAATTTAATCCCACTGAAATATTTTTTCCCTCCCCCACAGTATAACCCCCGCTTTCACTGTATTTTATGTCAGTATAATTTGTGGAGGGGAAGGGGAAAAACAAGTCGTTTAAATAAATAAGGATACAGGTGGACCCGTTGCAACAATGAGAAGTACAAGTTATGTTGAAAACGAACTTTACAACTTTGGGGGGGGGGGCAGGGAGAATTGGGGTGGGGGGATGGGAACGGATGGGAAGGGGAAACAAAGGAAGAGGCTACAATGCTTGATAAGAAATGTACTCATTATCTTGCCCATGTAATTGTAACCCCTCTGTACAGTATTTTCACAATAAAAAAATAAAAATTTTTTAAAAATGGAAAAAAAAAAACGATTTTTTTTTCTTTTTGTTGGTCGTGGGGCCTGAACTCTGGGCCTGGGCACTGTTCCTCAGCTCTTCAACTCAAGGCTAGTGCTCTACCACTTGAGCCAAGGTGCCACTTCTGGTTTTTTCTGCTTATATGATGCTGAGGAATTGAACCCAGGGCCTCATGCATACAAGCCATGCACTCTACCTTGAGCCATCTTCCCAGCCCTGAAATAAATGTTTTAAAAGACCACATTCAAATTTTTATACCCACTTTCTCTTGTGGCTTACTAAAACATTGCAATAATGAAGTTGGCAAGACACATTGTATACATGCATGAAAAATGTCACAATGAAACCCTTCCTTGTATAACTAATCTACGCTAATTGAAAACAAAACACAAGCTGGATACCTGTGGCTCAGGGTTGTGATTCTAGTTACTCAGGAGGCTGAGATCTGAGGATCATAGTTCAAAGCCAGCCCAGGCAGAAAAGTCCCCAAAACTCTTATCTCCAATTAACTACTCAAAAACCGGAAGTGGAGATATGGCTCAAAGTAGTAGAGAGCCAGCCTTGAGCAAAAAAGCTCAGGGACAGTGCCTAAGCACTGAGTTCAAGCCTCACAACCACCAAAAGAAGAAAAAAGAAAGAAAAGAAACACTGCAATAAGCCAGGCGCCAGTGGCTCACACCTGTAATCCTAGCTACTCCAGGCAGGAAAGTCCATGAGACTCTTATCTCCAATAAACCTCAAGAAAACCAGAAGTGGTGCTGTAGTTCAAGTGGTAGAGCACTTGCCTTGAGCTCAAGAACTCAAGGACAGTGCCCAGGCCCAGAGTTCAAGCTCCACGACTGACAAAAAAAAAAAAAAAAGAAAGAAAAGAAAAGAAACACTGTAATAAAAGGGAAGAAATACTACTTGTCACTCAACCTCTATCTTCTCTACCTTCCTCCCCAACCACTCCACCCATGGTCCAAAAAATGCCAATATGGACACTGAGGGTCATTAAAAACCCTGTTCAAACATTTGTCTGAACTGAAAGTTTCTTCAGGTTTTATTAAGTCTGTTAAAGTTATTCCTAAACAAATTTATAATTTATATAAACTCATACCACATTAAATCTAAATTAATTATCCATAATTTGAATTTACTACCAAATTTGTGGGCTTTTTTTTAACTTTTAACACTCAAAATGGTTTCCTATGCCTGAATCCTAATTTTTGAGGGGAAAGGGGGTTGGTTGTGGGGCTTAACCTCTGGGCCTAGGTACTGTCCCTGAGCTACAAGTATTCTACTATTTGAGCCATGGTGCCACTTCCGGTTTTCTGGTAGTTAATTGGAGATAAGAGTCTCATGGACTTTCCTGACTTGGCTGGCTTTGAACTGTGATACTCAGATCTCAGCCCCCTGAGTAGCTAGGATTAAGGTATGAGCCACCAGCACCCAGCCTAAATCCTCATTTTAAAAGTTAGGAATTAGATTTTCTTTCTTCTTATGGTCATATATTCACACAACATCCTAAAAATCTACAAAATCTAATCAGTGGACACAGTTTTACATGGCAAAATAATGCAGAAGTTTGTCTTTTTAAATTTTATTATTAAGCAGTTGTTCAAAGCAATTATAATTCCATCAATCAGGTTAGGTGTACAATGCATCTTGATCAGTCACCCTTTTGGATTGTATCTCCCACATTCCTCCCTCCAATTCCTACTCTGAAGTTACACTGTTGAATTTTTACACATTGTACACTGAAGTACATATATGACAAAAAAATCACAAAAGAAACTATTTTTCACTACACATAATAGTAAACTATCATTACTTGCATAAAATATAATTTCTCATTCATTAAAATTTTCTGAAGTGAAGCTTCTGAACATTACAAGTACTCCCTTCTCAATACATTTCCGATTATTCTTTAACTTTATTTAAAATAAACATTTCCATCTATCATGCTTATTTTGAATTATGATTAACAGCACGCTTGCTTTCTGAATATTAGCAGTATGTATCACTTAAGTATTTGCTTCTCATTTACATAAAATAATCCTTAGTGAGTGATTTTAGACTTACCCACAAGTCATGTTCTGCATAATCAAACAGCAGCCACACCTTCCTGTCACTGTGAGAAAGGAACACCTTCTGCAATGCGATCACATTAGGGTGCTTCAATTCTCTCAAAAGCTGAATGTAAGAGAAACAGATGAATCACCATTCTGTTAGTGAGAAGTGGGGTGGGAGAAATTGTCTTTTTTAAACTTCAAAATAAAATTTTTGAAAATTCAGAAAACACAAGGAAGTAGAAAAAATACCAGTACTCAGTTCTAAATGATAAAAATAACTTAACTGAGAGATAAACAGCTAGAAAAAGAAGGGGTTCAGATTTAAATAGATCTTCTTGGCTATACCAAATCTGATTTTTCCCACTACATCTAAAATACTTGTCTTCAATTCCCACAATTCATCAGAAAAGGCAGATATATTAAGGAAATCAATGAGTCATAGAGAAATTAATTGCTTACTCATCCTAACAGTCTTAAATAAGTGAAGCATACTTTGAGTGTCTATACTGTGATATAAAACTCATGTGAACTTGAGTTGTATGTGGTGAGCCATGTCTATCATCCAAGTCATTGGAGAGACTGAGGTGGGAAGACCACTTAAGCCCAAGAGTTCAAAACAAGCCTTGGTAATATGAGGAAAATGCTGTTTTGTTTTTTGTTTTTTAATTATCTGAATGCCATCTCTGAAATTTTCAACTACATCCTAGATGCCCCCCAAGAAACCTAACTATTTCCAATGACAGATTTTTCCCAGTTCTCAACTCTCACTTTGGTTTTATTTTGCACGTTAGCTTTTTCTGTTCATCTATGCTCCCAGCAACTTTGCCTGAAAATGACCTACCAGCTATAAGTTCTTCGTGATTATTTACATGTTTGTTTCTTTATTTATTTATTTTGTTGGTCATGGGACTTGAATTCTGGGCCTGGACACTGTCCCTCAGCTCTTCAGCTCAAGGTGAGCACTCTACTATTTGAACCACAGGACCATTTCTGGTTTTCTAGTGGCTAACTGGAGATAAGAGTCTCTCACAGACTCTCCTACCCAGGCTGGCAGATGTCAGATCTCAGCCTCCTGAGTAGCTAGGATTACAGGCATGAGCCACTGGCACCCAGCATGATTACTTTATACCAAGTACTACCACTATCAAATCCAGTTTTGTATCTTCTATCTACAAGTCTAAGGTGCTTGGAAAACAAAAGCTTTCTAGCAACTCATACAGGAGAAAGAATTCTACCTCAATAGAATAAAACACATTGTTAAGAAAAGATCTTTTGGTCACCTAATTCTAATTCTACAGAAGCTAGTTTCTAAAGCTACATCACAGTGATGTGATGATGCAGAATAACACTTATCTATAGGCATATGAATTCTGGGCTGTACAATAGAGTTTCATTAACTTCCTTTCTCCCACCATGGAGGAAGCTAATTTTCCCTCAATTTTCATAGGCATTTGAATACACATAAGTTTTGTCCGTACGTTTTGTCTAAGGATTCACCTTTGAATTCAAAGGTTCTAATATCAGGTCGGTTCATTTTTTTTAACCTTTCTCAAAACTTATACTTTAACAGTCACTGTACAGAAATATCTCACTTGGACAGACATGATGATGTTTCTTTGTTATTTAATGGCTTTTTTTCTATATATTAATGTATAAACTCAATAGAGACAAAGCTTTTTGTTGCTTTTATGTCACCAGTGTTTAAAATGGTATGTAGTACAGGGCTGAGAATGTGGCTTAGTGGTAGAGTGCTTGCCTAGCATTCATGAAGCCCTGGGTTCGATTCCTCAGTACCACATAAACAAAAAACTGGAAGTGGTGCACTGGCTCAAGTGGTAGAGTGCTCAAGTGTCCCTCGAGCAAAAGAAGCTCAGGAACAGCGCCCAGGTCTTGAGTTCAAGTCTCCAAAACATAAAATAAAAAATTATAAGCACTCAATAATTACTTGTCAAACGAATTAATTCTACTGATTACTGGCTCTTAACTCACAAAATATACCAAAGATGGACTGTAACATTGTAAAAATTTACCACTCTTTCACAAATGATCCTTTTTCCAAAGGTGCTATGAATGATTTTGTTATTTTAATTAACACGTACTCTACTAAATAAGAGTGCTGGGTTAATATAATAGGCAGAAATATAGCTCTGAATATCTTAGGATGAAATATTTAACCAGGCACATAATCAGAAAAGCAAAGCAGTGCTATGGGTCCTAAAAGGGTTGTGAATAAAATGCTGTAAAATACTAAATAAAATAACACATAGGGACAGAGAATAAAGAACATACCTGACAAATTAAAGCAGGTATCAGCCAAATTGTTGGTTGTTTTTTGTTGTTGTTGTTGTTGTTGTTTGGTCGGTCATGGGGCTTGAACTCTGGGCCTGGGCACTGTCCCTGAGCTCTTAAGCTTAAGGATAGTGCTCACTACTTGAGCCACAGCACCACTTCAAGTTTTCTGGTGGTTAATTGGAGGTAAGAGTCTCACCAACTATCCTGCTCAGGATGGCTTTGAACCAGAATAGCTGGGAAACAAGTATGCCCCACCATACCTGATAGGAATATATATATTTAAGTTTTTTTGTTGTTGTTGTTTATGTGGTACTAAGGAATCAAACCCAGGGCCTCATGCACGCTAAGCAAGCACTCTACCACTAAGCCACTTTCCCAACCCAGGAATATATTGTATCAAGGATGTGTTTTCTTGATGTGTTTTCTTACCTATTGTCCAATAATCTCTTTGATCAAGGCAAATTACTAAGTGATGAATCAGGATTAGAAAAATAGTTCAATCAATAAATAAAATGAACAAAATTAAAGACTACAGGGAAATGAAATCAAAAGACTTGTCAAATGTAGCAGTGGTACTCACTAGATACTATGTTGAAAATATAGTATAAATATACAAATATACAACTATACAACTTGTGGGTGGAACTGTAGGGAAGACTTGGAGAGAGCAAGGGAAGTGGTGACATTGTCCAAAAAGAAATATACTCATAACCTGACTTATGTAACTGTAACCCCTCTTTACATCATCTTTCTAATAATAAAAAAAAAAACTGTTTAAAAAAGCTTTTGTTAGCCAGGCGCCTAGCTACTCAGGAGGCTGAGAACTGAGGATCATGGTTCAAAGCCAGCCGGGCAGGAAACTCAGTGAGACTCTTATCTCCAATAAACCACCAAAAAAAATGGAAGTGGCACTGTAGCTCAAGTGGCAGAGCACTGGCCTTGCGCTGAAGAGCGCAAGGACAGTGTCCAAGCCCAGAGTTCAAGACCCATGACCAAAAAAAAAAAAAAAAGCTTTTGTTTCTAATAACATGGCAACCAAATCATGCGTATTACACAGTTAAATCATCCATAAGAGGCTTGTCTCTTTTTAACTTTGCTTCCTTTGTTCCTTTCCATTCATTAAGCCCTACATTCATAAAGATCCTTACTCTTCCAAATCCCAGTGTGGATTATCTGTATCAGTCATTTGGAATATAATAAATAATCTCTTATATTATGCATAGATAGGTAGGAAGATAATATATACTCATATTGACTATTTCAATAACAAATTCTTTCAGTTATCTTTTGTTTTGTTTTTTGTTTTCAGTTATCTTTTTAAGTCTTTTTAAGTCTTGATACAACTCAGAAGTCAAAAATTGTTCAGGTTGGGCAGTGGAGGCTCACCCTCATAATCCTAGTGCTCTCCTTGAGCAAAAAAGCTCAGGGATAGAGCTCAGGCTCTAAGTTCAAGTTCCAGGACCAGCATTGAAAAAACACACAGAATGTCTGCTCAGAGAAATATAATGTATATTTTCCAGGAGAAGATATTGTTATGCAAACCAGCCAGAACAGATTTTTTTTTCCTTTTTTGGTCAGTAATGGGGCTTGAACTCAGGGCCTAGGCATTGTCCCTGAGCTTCATTTGCTCAAAGCTAGCACTCTACCATTTAAGCCACAGTGCCACTTGTGACTTTTTCTGTTTATGTGGTACTGAGGAATTGAACCAAGGACTTCACGCGTGTAGGCAAGCACTTCACCACTAAGCCACATTTCCAGCCCAAGAATAGATGATTTTAAGTGTTAAGAGAAATGCCTATTAAATTTGTCAAATTCTATTGGAGATATTCTAGGAAACTTAAAAAGAAGAGTTATTGCCACTATAAGTATCATCTCTATCTTGTTTAGTCTTAAATATGTTTTTTAGCTAAACTGAAAGCAGATCAAAGAAGGGGTCTGGGAAGTGGTTTTATATTATTTCGCTCTGTTGTGACAATAGTCAACACTTCTGAAACATAGAAACAAAAGAAGCTCTATGAAGAAAGGACACTGGGCAAGGTACCCTTACCCTTGTAATCCTACTCAAGAGGATCTAAGATCTGAGGACTAAGCTTTGAAGCCTGAACTCTTATCTCCAATTAACCTCCAAAAGCATAGAAATGGAGTTGTGGTTCAAATGGTAGAGTGCTAGCCTTGGGTAATAAAACTCAGGGACAGTGCCCAGGCCCAGAGTTCAACCCCAGGACCAGCGCATCTGTGCACAAAAGTATGGACATTGAAACTCTTTGACCTAATTCTTCCACATTCTTACTGGCTGGCCTCATGTTTGCTGCCCATTGTCCTCATACTGTTATAAATATGCTCTCCAAGAACCACTGGAGTCACAACAATAAACACTGCACTTCTTACTTCTGCAGTAAGGTGCAACGTCAGCTATAAATCTGACAAGCAAGCAAGCACACAGAGCAGGTAGGCTGCTCTCATCTTTATACCTAACACAGGAGGCCCTACTCTTTTTTTTGTTTGTTTGCATGCATTTTATTAAGTGACAAAGGAAGTATCAAATCAATTAGCATTTATAACCATGAATTCTGAAAAATGTATTTTAGAGTATATCCTTTTATGAAGAGCTCAGACTTGACTTCCCCCCCTCCATGGGGCAAATTGCCTTTATCATGGTCTATAAAGTTTATGAGTTCTATGAGCTTTAACAATAGTTATTTCTTCCACATTGGGTGATATATACATGTCTTCCTTTTGCTTAGGGTGTCAGCTGTTCGTCTTTCCCGTTCATTCCCTCCCTCCCATCACTGCCATTGAGTTGCTTAGTTCATTTTAATCAATGACCAG